CTATCATCAAAATATCAACTTTTCATGAATTGAGAGTACTGATGTACTTAATTTCAATTAAGGCTATGTTTTGGACCATATTTAGCACAATTTATTTTTTATCTCGAAAACAGATAGAGATAGGTATAGGACATTATTAACAAAAAAGTATTAAAATACCAGAGCGATTCCAAAAATGTATTATTATACGGGGTGTTCCATTCAAAACAATAAAGTTGCTAGGACTTTTTGATGGAAGTGGCAACGCCGCAATGCTGAAAATGTTTTAGATCGATAGAACAGGTAAGAAAATGTGAGAGGTGGAATTTTCAGAAAAATCATGCTTTGCGTTCTCAGAAACGTCTAACCTACCATCGACCGTGAGTCACGCTGTATAATATAGCTTGATGTTTTTGATAGTGAAATTATCATTTTTCTGATGTACTATGATGTTTTTGTTGAAAAGTAGGAACTTCCATGATCTGGAAAAATTTACAGTTTGGAACCCTTAAAGTAGTTAAAGTAAATGACCAAAATAGCTGAAACTATTCCACGATGAATTACTGCACCTATTCTTTCACCTTTACATTCATCGCGTATGATAAGAATTATTTAAAGCAGTCTTACAACTCCGATCATATCAGTTTGAAAAGCTATCAGTGGAAGATGTAAGTTGAAAGTTTGATTTTCTATACTTACTTCCAATCAATATTTGTTTCTGGCCTGGGAATCTTCACAAACGCGTGTCGTTGACCTGGTGGTAAAATGAACTCTATGTGACCATTTTTGGGACACCTGATATTAACGTTTGGTAAATCTGAAAGATGAGCTATAAACATGTCATTCTAACAAGAAAATGAAAAAATTACGTCTCACACAAGCATCCCGTAGATGTTCAGGTCGTACATTTGGCATCCATTGCATATTACTATCGCAGACGTATTTTTCAATGTCTTGCTTAGCTACGAACCCTTTTCTGCAGTAAATCTCGCACGACTCTCCAGGGTACGTTCTACCAGAATTACATACCCCTGGCAGGTACCAACCGTTCTGTATTGGAGGAAGTTTGGGGCAAGTCGCCACTGTAAGGAAAGGTAATTATAATACTTTCAAAAGGTCCGTGGAAAAATTTTTGACTGCTCACCGACACAACGGGGCTCGTCGTGTTCCCAAACTCCAGCACGATTACAGATTCTCTGGAATTGTCCTATCAGCTTATAACCTTCGTTGCAGTAGGCTCTGCATTTAGTGCCTGAAGGTACAAAACTGCCATAGTCTGCTCTATGGTCCAAGCACCTCAGAACACCATGTTTAGGTGGAGAGGGAACCCGACACTGTTCTGTATTGCCTAATTTACAAGACCGTCTATCCACCTGAAAAAGGCAAAGAACAGAAAGAAGTAAAATAACTTCGTGATGTTCATATGAAAGAAATCCCTTGTTAAGATACAGCCCCTTAAAGGGGGTACATAAAATTTGTATAACAATTTTTTTCACAAGCACTGGAAATTAACCTGACGTTTTGTACTACCAAAAAGATACTTAGCCAGTAATTTATTTGGTTTACCCCATGGTTGTAAGGGGTGGAAAACGCAACCCCTAAAAT